TCACCTATCCATTTCTGGTTCTTCATTGGGAAAGTTAAGCATATATCACGTTTCCCTCATTACCACTTGTCTTTCTCCCCCCTCCCCCCGTTCTGTAGCTCCCAAATACATCAAGATGTTTGTACTGGATGAAGCTGACGAAATGTTAAGCCGTGGGTTCAAGGACCAGATCTATGACATATTCCAAAAGCTCAACAGCAACACCCAGGTGAGAGACATTTAGTCTTGCCTTTATGGCTGATCCTTCATAGATTGGGGTTGGGGTGGTAGAACAAGAATGAGGTGCCAGAGAATTCTAGCCTCGAGCCTTTTTATGCACTAGCTTGTTTTAGGCGGCTTGGAGTAGCTCCTGTCCTAGACTTGCTGTATTTTTCCCCCTTAGGTGGTATTGCTGTCAGCTACAATGCCTTCCGATGTGCTTGAGGTGACCAAGAAGTTCATGAGGGACCCCATTCGGATTCTCGTCAAGAAGGAAGAGTTGACTCTGGAGGGTATCCGTCAATTCTACATCAATGTGGAAAGAGAGGTGGGGCCCAGTGCAGGAGGCGGACCTGGTAGTAAGTAGTCGGGGTATAGCCCCCTGACTGATTTTTCTTCCCCAACTTCACCCCCAGGAGTGGAAGCTGGACACATTGTGTGACTTATATGAAACCCTCACCATCACCCAGGCAGTCATCTTCATCAACACGCGAAGAAAGGTTGATTGGCTCACTGAGAAGATGCACGCCCGAGACTTCACCGTCTCTGCCATGGTGAGATTTCCCCTCTTACTAACCAGCAGTGTGTACGAGTCAGTAGCCCACTTAAGCCAGTTTTCAGAACCCATGTGCCTACACTCTTCTTTCCCATCCTAGCATGGAGACATGGACCAAAAGGAACGAGATGTAATCATGAGGGAGTTCCGCTCTGGCTCTAGCAGAGTATTGATTACCACTGACCTGCTGGTAAGTAAGGGGGGATTTAGACAAAACAGAAGGGAGAAACCAAGGTGATTCCCTCTCCAAGGGGACTAATAGTGCCCCTCTTCCGGAAAGTAGCAACTTGGAATAGAATCTGGCATGCCTCAGGTTTTCAGGGGAGGTGATACACCATTTCCTTGGCCTGCCTTTGGCTGCCTACATGTATACTAAAGTCCCAAGTTCCTTCTGGGTGGCCTCTGCCCTCTTCTCACTCACGTGCTGAAGCTGTCTTATTTTCTTGCCATAGGCCAGAGGCATTGATGTGCAGCAGGTTTCTTTAGTCATCAACTATGACCTTCCCACCAACAGGGAAAACTATATCCACAGGTGAGTGTGTTTACCCAGCCCCTCATGCCCAGTCCTCGCTGGGCTGAAGCTTGTTTTCTCTTTATTGTGTCCCCATGCATCCTAAGGTGTCCTTCTTTTCCAGAATCGGTCGGGGTGGACGTTTTGGCCGTAAGGGTGTGGCTATTAATATGGTGACAGAAGAAGACAAGAGGACTCTTCGGGACATTGAGACCTTCTACAACACCTCCATCGAGGAGATGCCCCTCAATGTTGCTGACCTCATCTGAGAGGGGCTGGCCTGCTGCCTCGGCCCAGCCAGGCTGAGGAGGAGCAGGAGGGGGGAGGGAAGGGAGCCAAGGGATGGACATCTTGTCAATTTTTTTTCTTTTTTTTTCCCTTTGAATAAATGTCACTTTTTGAGGCAAAGAAGGAACCGTGAACAATTTAGATACCCTTTTCTTTGGGGTAGGCTCATGCCCCAGGCGCCGTCTCTTCTCCCAAAAACACTAATCCACTTCCCTAACCTAGTCAACCTCCAAACCCCAGAGACTCCCTGCTCCAGCCAAATTCCTCTGAAAATGATTCTTCAAGGGGGCTATGTCACTCAACCTCATTTACTGGACCAAATCTGGAGGGAGAACCCTTGAGTTAGGTGGCCCAGGGGATTGTCCCCATGTGGGGGGAGCAGGGGAGAAAAAATAGTAGCCATTTTTACATTGTTTTGTATAGTATTTATTGATTCAGGAAACAAAATTCTGAATAAAATTACTTGGAAACTGCCTGTTTGGGCTTCTCATTTCTTCCCCTTCCCACCTGCTATGGGGTATATATCCCCTCCCCCAAGCTGATATTTTACCCCAGTAGTTCTCAACCTTCTGGCCCTTTAAATACAGTTCCTCATGTTGTGACCCAACCATAAAATTATTTTCGTTGCTACTTCATAACTGTAATGTTGCTACTGTTATGAATCATAATGTAAATATCTGATATGCAGGATGGTCTTAGGCCCATGTGATCACCAAAGGGGTCGCGACCCACCGGTTGAGAACCGCTGCTTTACCTTCTGTGATAAGTCATTTAACAGTGACCCTTCTGTAGGGTTGGGCAATCCCCGTCACAAGTGCCTCACATGTCTCAGTCACGAGGAAGTGATGGATGGAGGGGGAAATGGGACTGGTAACTTGATTTTTACATTGTTTTCTTTGGAGATCAGAGAGGGGCTGCATTTCAACTGGTTCAGTAATCATTTGCCAGAACCGTTGGGTTTTGTTGAGGTACACAAATGGGTCCCCAAGGATCAACACTTAACTCATTCTCCCCACATGATGGTCTTGATTCTGACAGCTCCCACTTGGGTGAAGCCAGGGCCAATCATGTAGTGACAAAAACTTAATGACTAAGTGGTGTTTGGGGCTGAGGTGCCTGAGTCAGGTTGTGGGGCAGGGCTATCTCAGTTACAGGAAGTTAAGACTTTCATTTCCTCCTTTTCCAAAAGGAGGCAGGGAATAGGGTAGACTTGGGTGAGCAGCTGATACTGACACTACCAAGAGCTCGGGCTGTTCCGCCATGAAGTTTGCTGTGCTTTTCCTGGGGGCCGTGCTGGGACTACTAGCAGGTAAGGACAAAGGGGGCTAAAGGGGAGAAAGCCCCCCCCCCCCCCCCCCGGAAGGAAGCTGGTCCTGGGTTGGGTTGGTAACCAGTCTTTTTTCCACTGAAAACCCCGGGGAAGGGGAAAGAATGTCCTCCTCAGGGGACGGGGAATGACTGTCCTCATAAGAAATCTGCCACTCTGCTACCATCCTTCACGGTGACACCTACAGCTACAGAAAGCACAACAAGCCCTGGAACAACCAGCCACAGAACCACCAAGAGCCACAGAACCACCACCACAAGCACCAGCCATGGACCCACAACAGCCACTCACAATCCTGTCACCACGACGAGCCATGGAAATACCACAGTTCATCCAACGAGCAACAGCACTGCCACCAGCCCAACGAGCAACAGCACTGCCACCAGCCCAACGAGCAACAGCACTGCCACCAGTCCAATGAGCAACAGCACTGCCACCAGTCCAATGAGCAACAGCACTGCCACCAGTCCAATGAGCAACAGCACTGCCACCAGTCCAGGATCCTTCACCAGTTTGCCCCACCCAGGACCACCTCCACCCTCTACAAGTCCTAGCCCAGGCTCCAAGGCAGCTGTAGGAGACTACACTTGGACTAATGTTTCCCTGCCCTGTGTCCATCTCCAAGCCCAGATTCAGATTCGAATTCGGTACCCAACCCAAGGTGGAAAAGAGGTAAAGCTGAAAGGGGTTGGGGGATAAGACTGGTTCAGAAGGGAAGAAGAAAGAGTGGAGAAGGGGACCAACACAAGGTGGGGTTGAAAAAAAAAGGTATTTTATTTTTTATAATTAAAATTTTTTTGATTTTAGAGAAGAAGGGAGAGGGAGAGAGAGACAGAAACATCAATAATGAGAATCACTGACTGGCTGCCTCCTGCATGCCCCCAACTGGGGATTGAGCCTGCAACCCAGGCATGTGCCCTTGACCAGAATCGAACCTGGGACTCTTTAGTCTGCAGGCCAACACTCTATTCACTGAGCCAAACCAGCTAGGGCGAAAGAAAAGGTATTTTAGATGGCACAGCTGTGTAGCCTTATGACTCTCTTTTCTTTAACTTCCGCAGGCCTGGGGCATCTCTGTACTGAACCCTAACAAAACCACGCCCCAGGGAGGCTGTGAGGGTGCCCATCCCCACTTGCTTCTCTCATTCCCCTATGGACAGCTCAGCTTTGGATTCAAGCAGGTAACTCACCCCTCATCCCTCACTCTCCAAGTGCCCTTTCCCTATTAATCGTTCGCCGCATCCCTCCTCTGTGGACATGAACACCACTCTCCCCCATTACCCTGAGCTTTCCTGGTCACCTCTGCAGGAACCACTGCAGAGCACTGTGTACCTGAACTCTGTGGCTGTGGAGTACAATGTGTCCTTCCCACAAGCAACACGTGAGTAACCTTCCCTTTCTCGTCACTTGCACTAGATGTCTGGGCTCCTAAAGGGACCTAAGCTGGGGGATGGGGATGTGGATATAGAGCTGATCCTTCCTCACTCTCTTAGAATGGACATTCTCAGTTCAAAATTCATCCCTTCGAGAACTCCAAGCCCCGTTGGGCCAGAGCTTCAGTTGCAGAAATGCAAGCATCATTCTTTCACCGGCTTTCCACCTCGACCTGCTCTTCCTGAAGCTACAAGCTGCTCGCCTACCCCCTACAGGGGCCTTTGGGCCAAGTAAGACTGACTTCTTCTCTCCTAAAACTCTCCCACCACATTAAAAGCCCTACTCCAGGCTACCCCCTCCCTTCCTCTACATTACCCATTCTGCCTTCATTTACTGCTCTATCATCTAGGCGAGTTTCTCACCAATTGCCTACTTCCTAACATCCCCATGTTCCTTCCTCCCACCTTTATCCCACCACCACCATTGTGATACTTGCCTTGTCTTTCTGCCAGGTTTTTCTTGTCCCAGTGACCAATCCATATCGCTGCCCCTTATCATCGGCCTGATCGCCCTCGGCCTCCTCACCTTGGTGCTTGTTATCTTTTGCATCTCCCGGAGACGTGCACCAGCCTACCAGCCCCTCTGAGCCTTTGTCCCAGCGCCCAGGGCACCACTCAACTGACTCAGAGACAAAGTTATCTTCCTTCCCTCTCCGTCTTGAAGAAGAAAATCAAAGATAATGCCACTGGGAGAACCGAAGGGAGGTGTTTATTAAATATGACATTCCCCCTCTCCCTCCCCCAATGGGAGAATAGTAAAGCCTACTTAAATCTTTGTCTTTGGTTTTCCTTGTCCTTCCTGCCAGGATTAAAAGCGGTGAGTTTCTTGCCATAATGCTTTCTATGCCTTACATGGTTGAGTCTAAGGGAGCTGGTGAGGAGGGGTGAAAAGGTCAATGTGCAGCCAGATATCCTCATGGGTTCATCCCCCAAAGCCTGGTGCAGCTGGTGTTGAATCTGCTCACCTCCCTTCCTCATTCTGGGGCCCCTGGCCCCAGCTCCTCCTCTCCAATCTAGTAGTCACCCATCCTGGAGGCCTTCTTCCTGACCCTTCTATGCAATTACAGGTGAAGCAGGCAGCAATAGCAGTGAGTGTGGGTGGGAAGGTCACACCTGTGTCATTTTGTTTCCAAAGGATGTGCTAGTGGCTCCTGAGCAACAAGAACGCCTGCCCCGCCCACCTTGTTGATGAAACCCTTACTGCACCTAGGATGCTAGCTCACCTGCAAAGGGTTTCAACAATGGGAGCAGTGGGTATATAGCCTCCACATACAATTACCCTCTGTGCTCCTGGAACAACATACCTCCAGCCTGGGCCACCCAGGGAGCCAACCCTGATGTTCCAAGTGATGGTGTACTTAGTGGTGGTGGGTGGCAGCCCCAGGGCAGCCAGATTCTACAAAAGGGCCTGCCAGACAGCCTGCACCATCACCGAGTGCCACTCCCTTTACAGTGCAATTGCTGGGGGCCAGAATAGGACCCTCACGCTACAGAAAGTAGCCCCTGGGACCTAGAGACCCACCCCATTGTGGGCAGCCCCCATGTGGCAGCGTCCCAACAGCCCCACCATTGCCTCACTGACATCCCCTACCACCGTGCAGACTGTGGCATGAGAGTCACTGAAGGGGCTGCAAGACAGTGTGGTGCTAGTAGCCGAGCATGAAGGCCAGTCCCACCACCGGGATGGCCAAGAGCAGTGGTTCTCAACCTTGGCTGCACATTAGAATCACCTGGGAATCTTTTTAAAATCCCGATTTCTGGGCTTCATCCTCCAGAAATTGTTTCTTTGTTATGGGGTGGGGCCACAACATTAGTAACAAAGAAACAGCATTTCCGGAGGATGAGGCCCAGAAATCAGGATTTTAAAAAGATTCCCAGGTGATTCTAATGTGCAGCCAAGGTTGAGAACCCCTGGCCAACAGTTAGTGTCCCAATGCGGGGTGGCAGAGGGCATCACCCCGCCAGGTAGTCCAAGGTGCCGGTTCCCCAACAGGAGCTGCTGGGCCCAGTTAGCCTGGCCTAAGCCCTTCCTCGGGATGTGGTCACAAAAGGCCAGCGCGGTGGAGGGGACCTCACAGGGCCCGGCCTGGGCTTCAGGGAACCTGCCAGGGCCGGGCTCCGCAGGGGCAGGGGTGCCATTCCCTGAACATGGTCTCGTCTTCCCCACCTCCGCCTCCCGCTTCCCTGTCCCGGGCGCACCCATTCGCCCAGGCCCGGGTTCACAAGGGGCGGGAGAAGCTCCCGCCAGTGCCGTTCCCACTGGAGACGCCGAGAGAACTCAAGTGAGAGAAGGCACCGCGCCCCCATCCAACGCCATTTTGGAGACTCGGCTCCTCTCTTCAATTTTGAACAGTCAAGTCAGCAGGGAGAAGAGAAGATGGCGCCGAGCGGGAGAAGCGGAGAAAAGCAGGACGATAAATCCTGCTTCCAAACTGGAAGGGTAAACAACGGTGCGAAACAAGGAAGTGCGCAGGCGTACAGCTTTCGCTGATTTAAAACTCAAACAGCAGGGAGGGTGGGCCTACTACGTGGTCGCAGGACGAGACCTATTTTACGCCGAGAAGGAGCGGAGCAGAGCGGCGGGGCGGCCCAGTCACGGGAGGCGGGAGGCGGGAGGCGGAAGTCCAGGGCGCGCATGCGCACCGCAGGTCCCTGAGGCTCTGAAGGAACTGGCGGAAGCGACCTTTACAAGATGGCGGCCGAGGCGGACGGGCTGCTCAAACGGGTGCTGGTGCCGATTCTTTTACCTGAGAAATGCTACGACCAATTTTTCGTCCAGTGGGATTTGCTTCACGGTGAGTCTTGTTCGGCATCTGGTCAAAGTCCTGCTGGAGCGCCAAAGTGGGGCGTGACTGCGGATAAGTGATGGCGGTGACCACTGCATGACTCGCTGGGCGGAAATTACTGCGGAGAGGGGCGGAAGTGTCTCGGACTCCGTACAGCGAGTGCGCCATTTTGGGGTGGGAGAAGGCGGGGGAGGGGTCGCCGGGTGGAAGTAATTCTCTGTGAAATTTATGCTTTAGAAAACGGAAGGCCGCCGTAACCGGTTTGGCTCAGTGGATAGAGCGTCGGCCTGCGGACTGAAGGGTCCCAGGTTCGATTCCGGTCAAGGGCATGTACCTGGGTTGCAGGCACATCCCCAGTGGGGGGTGTGCAGGAGGCGGCTGGTCGATGTTTCTCTCTCATCGATGTTTCTGACTCTCTGTCCCTCTCCCTTCCTCTCTGTAAAAAATCAATAAAATATATTAAAAAAAAAAAAGAAAGAAAGAAAACGGAAGGCCAAAAGACTCAAATTTTATAAAACAAAGTTAAAATATAACCCAATAGTTCCCACCTTTAAGAGGTCGCTATACCCCAGGAGCAAGGCCAAATTTGATCGCAGGCCTCATGAATCCAGGCCTTCAGCCGCACCCCCAAAGGTTTCTGCCGCCCTGACGATGCTTTCCCTCCGGCCTTTACGTTTGTTCGTGGCCTCATTTCGGAATCACTTGACTTCCTTCCACTTTCTACGAGGCAGTTCCACCGCGAGGCCCCTCTGAGACCCAGACGCGTTGGGAAGCTTTCTTTCCCAGCCTGCCCCTCAGGTCGAGGCACCCACTGTGCTTCTGAAACACCTCCTTTTAGCTGCTTTCATGGCCCGTGAGAATCTTGCCACCCACTGAGCCAAGCTCCTTGAGGAGAACACTTCCAGGCTAGAGAAGATGTGGGTGCGGGGCCCTGGGAGGGGAGGGCCAGAGACAGCGGGTCCGGAATGAGTGGCAAAGACCAGGCCCAAGCGGATCGCCCAGGTGCCTATGAGGGGGAACAAGGGAACAGAGAACCCTCGGGCATTGTGGAGTGTATTTAGTTCTCACCTGAGGACATGCTTAGAGAGAGGACGGAAGAGAGAGAAACATCGGTCAGTTGCCTTCACTATGCTTCCCGACGGGATCAAACCCGAAACCCAGGCATGTGCCCTGGCCCGGAATCAAATCGGCAACAACACTCAACCATCGGAGCCACTCATGGCTGGCAGGACCAAGGAGCGTAGATGTAATCTTCAGGGAATGGGAAATCGGGTTGGAGAGAAGGAATGGTGAAAGCTGTTTTGGAGAAGTTACCTCATCTTAGCATGACATAATCTGGCGCAGGAAGGGCCAGGCCTTTTCCACCTGCCTCCGGACACCCGGCTTCCTTGTGTGGGGATGTGCCAGTCTTACGGAGCAGTGGCAGCCACAGGAGGGCTGTAAGTCTGTAGGCCTGTACGTCTCGGAAAGCCCTGGCCTGGGTTCCTGAGACCCCCTCTCTGCTCCCTTTTTCTCTCCTCAGTCCCCTGCCTGAAGATTCTCCTCAGCAAAGGCCTGGGGCTGGGCATTGTAGCTGGGTCGCTGCTGGGTATGTATCTCATCTTCCTTTTCCTGCTGTTGGGATGGGGATTGAGTACGAAAATGCCATAAACGGGATGGGTCCCTTAACCAGGAGTGGGGTAACATGCTTCTCAATAGCTGTTTTGTTGTGCTTCCAAGGAATAGCAGCTCTTCAGCCCTACCCTTCTCATCCTTTCTCAGTGAAACTGCCTCAGGTGTTTAAAATCCTCGGAGCCAAGAGTGCGGAAGGGCTGAGCCTGCAGTCAGTCATGCTGGAACTAGTGGCATTGACTGGGACCATGGTCTACAGCATTGTCAACAACTTCCCCTTCAGGTGAGGGGTTTGCCCTTTGTCCCCAAGGGTAAATACCCACAACTCTAGTGGGGTCGGGGTGAGGGAGGTGAAAGGGCAGGAAAAGCTTAAGCCCTTTTGGAAACAGTCACCACCTATGGAGCTGATGAGAGGTGAGCATCCTATGAGAGCTCAAGATTCAAAGTGAGTCCATCAGAGGTGGAGGTGGTGGTGCTGGGAGGCAGGAGGCAGGAACCAGTAGGGCTGTGGAGGACAGGGAGTAATCAGATAATTGTGTCTCCAGATGGACGGGCTATGGAGGCTTTTCCTGCCTCTTTCCAGGCCCGCCTTTCTTCCTTCCAACTCTTGACTCTGCAGCTCTTGGGGTGAAGCACTATTCCTGATGCTCCAGACAGTCACCATCTGCTTCCTGGTCCTGCACTACAGAGGACAAACTGTGAAAGGTGCTGGGATTTACCCAAGAGCAGGCGGTGGCTCTTGAGAGCCCTGCCGGGTGGAACTCCACATGGGGAAGCCAGAGGACTCCTGAGATTGATGAGGACTCCTTGTCTCTGACTCCTAGGTGTGGCTTTCCTAGTGTGTTACGCTCTGGTACTGCTGATACTGCTTTCACCACTGACGCCCCTGGCCGTGATCACCATACTCCAGGCCTCCAATATGCCTTCTGTGGTGGTGGGGAAGGTGGGTACTGGGAGCAAGGAAAGAAATATTGGAGGAGGGACTCGGTGAGGAGCAGAGTGGAAGCTGTGTATGGGAATATTAGACTAAGGAGAATGGGGGGAATCTGATGGGAACATGGGAAGAATTCAGATGATAAAAAAAGGGTCTCAACTCCTGTTCTAGCTGCTCCAGGCAGCCACCAACTACCGCAATGGGCACACGGGCCAGCTCTCGGCCATCACAGTCCTTTTGCTCTTTGGGGGCTCCCTGGCCCGAATCTTCACCTCCATTCAGGTGAGTTCACCTTCTCTCCTCTAGGGGGCACTAAAACATCTTACCTCCCACCTGAGGACTTAAAGCTGTCTGGTCTCTGGAACCTTTGGGGAGGGGGGGGGGGCCTTGAAGAGTGACCCTAGCTCTGTTTCTTGCATTTAGGAAACTGGAGATCCCCTCATGGCTGGAACCTTTGTGGTCTCTTCCCTCTGTAACGGCCTTATTGCTGCCCAGCTTCTCTTCTACTGGAATGTAAAGGCTCCTCACAAGAAGAAAAAAGAGTAGTAGGGCTGATCCGGCTACTAGAGTCCATTCCATGTTTCTATTCATCCACCTAATCTCAGGGTCTTTCTGAGCCAGCCTACTGGTGTGACTTTTAATCATTCCCCATTTCTCTGCAGATGCAACTTCTTGAGCCAGCATTTGTGTTTCCGTGGAAAGGCATAGATGGTAGACCCAATCCTTAGAAAGGAATTGGGGTAGAGATTTTCAGGCTGACATGATATTGATTGTGCACTGTCCTAATTTAACCATTTGCTGAACTTCTTTTAGCAATTTCTAGCTACTTACCTCTCCTGGGCAAAAGTCTTGCCTGCCCTCCCATCTCCCCACTTTCCTTTTGGCTTTAAGAGGACAAAGCCTGGACAGTGCAAGGGACTAGGGGCTTATGGCTGCCTCCCTCCCCCAGCCTGGCTGGGACTGTCTCCTGGACCCCAGTGCTGGGTGGGAGGCAGGGGAAGGGGGATGGAGAATGACTCAGTCAGGGCCCCAGGGTGGGGTGAGGAGGTTCCTGCTCTGGCAGGTTCAGGCAAAAGGGAGTGGAGATGATGCTGGTTCCTGTTGTAGTGAGGGGGAACAGAGATGGGGCAATAAAGACGCAGAGACATGGCTTAATTGTACAAAACCGTGTTTGTCCTACAAAAAATATAAAAAGTTATGTTGTTCCCTCTGGATGGGGGGAGGGGGCTGGACTGCAGGCCTCCTCTAAACTGTGGTCCAACAGTGCCAAAGAAGGGTTTGCCGTTTGGAAGTAAGGGGATAGTTCTGGGTGAAAAAGAGGTTGGAGCCCTTCCTGGGAGGTCTTACCCATGATTATTAGAGGTGGGCCAGGGGCATGGGGGCCCCTGAGAGGGGAGGGTTGTAGGGAGTAGGAGAGCCTGGGGGTGGATAGGGATTATAGTGGGGGAGCAGTTCCCCCTGGAGCCTAGGGTTACTCTGATGGAGGGAGCACGTTGAAGCCTCTGGTTTAGAGTGGGAAGAGCTGCAAAGAGAGAAATACGGGTTAGAAGGCACTTTCCTAGGTTGGTGATGCCAGGCAGGGTCCCCAGTGTGCACGTAAGGGCAGGTCTGACCGGTTCTGGGTAGACAAATAGAACCTAGCCATCCCTGGCTATTTGGGCCCCACTAGGTACTGCAGGTCCAGAACCAGACCCAAGGCTAGCTTAGAGAGCAGGGCAGCCTTGTTGGGGCAGGCTCACCAGCGAGCTTGCGTGCTGTCCGCCTGTTTTCCTCTTTCGGGGCAGCAGGCCAGAAAGGGGCAGAATTGGGATTAGCCTCTCCTTGCCCTGGGGGCTGAGAGGAAGTCAGGTCACACCAGGGCCAGAAGCTGGTGGGGGGTGGGGGTGGGGGGTGGAGGGGGAAATGGCAGGAAATCCAGATAGGAACAAGGTCAACATCTAGGGGCCTGTAGTCTGCCCCCCCTCCAGGCCACCACTGCCAGGTTGATGGGAAAGCCCTCCAGGAAAACCCTGGGCCACCAGAACCCTCCCAAAAGAGCTGGGAGTGCTGGTAATGGTGCTGCCCAAATCTTCACGGCAGTCCCTAAACCCCAAAGGGGTGACCTCAGCTTTGTTGGGTTCAGGCCCCTTTGTCAGCCAGGCCCTCTGGTATGCCTCCCATCTAGGCTCAGGGAGGGAGGACTCAGCATCTCCTTCCTCACCCCCGCTCCCAGGCACTTACCTGAAACCACGAGGCAAGTAGGATGTCGAGTAGTTGGGGGGTTGGTACCCAAAGCCTCTGCTCCCCTGGGTGGTCACGTATCCTGGTCCCCAAACCGGCCCACTAACAGCCACACCGCCGCTTCCCTGGCCGAAATGGGGCAGCCCAGCTCCCGCGCTTTTAGTCTTGCGCCGTGGCCGGTACTTGTAATCGGGGTAGTCGCGCAGGTGTCGGGCCCGCAGCCGCTTGGCCTCCTCCACGAATGGCCGCTTCTCGTCCTCGCCCAGCAGCTTCCACTGCGCGCCCAGGCGCTTGGAGATCTCCGAGTTGTGCATCTTTGGGTTTTGCTGCGCCATCTGGCGGCGCTGAGCGGAGCTCCACACCATGAACGCGTTCATGGGTCGCTTCACCTTCTCCAAGGGAAGGCCCCCGGAGACCACGGGGCTCTCGGCGTCCTCCCGCTCCTGGGAGCCCGAGGGTGAGGAGGCAGGAGCCGTGGGAGTGGGAGGTTCCAGGCTCCAAGCCCGGTCTTGTGAGAGGCCGGGTAGCGCCATGGGAATGGAGGGAAGCCTTAAAGAGGGCGCCTACACGCCCTCTCCTCGAAAGCGAAACGTTGATCTCCAAACCCGGTATCCTTAAAATGGAAGTGTCTTCCTAGTATGGAGTCGTTCTGAGAATCTCGTGTCCTTAAAAAGTATATATCTCGTCCCCGAGTTCAGAGTCCTTATTCTGGAGCCCCGCTCCCTGCCGGATCAATCCTGTACCATGAAGGAGTGGAGTGCAAAATCTGTCTGTAAAGGGCAGGCTGCTTTCTCCTTTCCTGGCTGCGGTGCAGCGTCAGACCCAGTCCCGCTCCTACCTTTGGCTGGTCGGTCTTTGGTGGAGGCCGGAAACTTCCTGCTCAGACTCTAGTATTTTGTAGCAGCCGGCGGGGCAGCGCGGCCCGGGTACCACAGCACGCGCACCTGGCCTTAGCGGGTGAGTCAGGCCCGGGAACAGCTTTTAACGACTGACTCCTCCCCACTCCCTCCCAGCAGGCCGCGCCTCCTTAAGAGCGCCTGCATCACCTAGGCAGACCCAGGGATTCTGCTCTTCCCAGCCCCCAACACCCCTCAGGGCACCACGCCCCCTCCCCCACCCAAGACCCAGATGTCAAGCCTTCCAGCCCCGTAGCTCTGCAGTCTTCCCCTCCCTTCTTAAGCTTTGGCAATTTAAAGTCAATTCCTTTGCACAATGGAAGCAAACACCCGAATCAAAAGCCCCAGGGTCAATTGTGCTAGGACAAACTGGAATACCCCACACCCACCCCAAACCCTTTTCTTGTGCCCAGTGCCCCTCAAAACCCAATCTGCCCCTGGGGCAAGAAGTCAGGGCAGTTACAGGGAGGCAGGCCATTCTTGTTGCCTGAGTCATCCCAGCAGGTGCTTGGGTGGTGATTCAACACCACTCCAGGTGAGAAAACTTAAACTCTCCCAACTCCAGCCCCCAAAGGTTTCTCCACACACATTTTATCTTCAAACTTTAGAGTTTGAAGGCAGGGAGCCAGGAACCCCAGGACAACTCCCCTGGGGTTGAGAGATCAGTGACATGGATGCTGGAAGAAAAAAAAGGTCTGATTCCAGGGCAGGAAATGAGGGCTGGACATCAAGGTCCCACTCTGCCCAAGACCCAGCCCAAGCCCCAGGCCTCAGGTAATCCGATTAAGCAGCCAGTCTTGGCTCTTGGCTCTTAGCAGGAACAGTTCCAGCTTGGGCAGCCCTACCTAGCCAGCTGTGACTCAGGTACAGGAGTGGCCCAGCTCCCTCCAGCAGCAAACTTGGGGGGAGGAGAGAAGCAGCAAGACACAAGCCACTCTCCTCGACCAGGAGGGTACCTGGGCCTAGGCCTTAAGACTGTCCAGAATTCCCAAAGTAGACCATCTCTGGAACACTAGAGCCAGATGCTGAGAAACAGAAGGCAAGGTCCAGGGACCAGGACAGATCAGTCTTAGGAAAACAGCTGGACCAAACTGGGCACAAGGAAGACACAAGAACCAGAGAGCCGTTTGGATTTTTTAATTCTCTTTTTAAATACTGTACAGTGAAAAATAAATACGCCTTCTCATCCACCAGATAAGGTTGGTCCCCCTTCCCCTGGGGGACCTTGTCACCCCCTTCATACACACCCCTGGTTCTACTCCAAAACCTTCCCCATGCCTCCCACCCACTTAAACCCTTACTATCCCCGTCTTCCACAGTGATGAGGCCCCAGAAATCGGGGGTACAGGATGGTAGGAGGGATAGCAGGGGAACCCCCCTGAACTGTCAAATCTGGGTGGGTCAAGAAGCACCCCGCACCAAAGGCGGAGAATGGGGGTGTTCAGAGAGAGATTGGGGCTTTAGAGGATAAAGGCACATCCAGTCTGATGGGGAAGGAGAGGCTCCCCTCACCCTGGGGTAGGGTGGACAAGAGGGAGGTGGGTATGACCCTGTTTCACACCCTCCACTAGCTCCTGGAGGTTGGGGGGGGGACCCAAGCTTCTGTGCCACCCCCCTCCCCCCTAGATAAGAGCAGCTCCAGCGCAGGTCAGTCGGGCCTGTGAGGGCCATGGTGTTGGGCAGCAAGCGAGATGGAGAAGGGAGGGATGCAGGCTGGAGGTTTTATGAAACCCCATTCACCAAACTACCCAACTCCAGGGGAACGGAGAGCTCCCCATTCTCTGAGGGGCCCTTAGGAAGCTTGCTGACAGAGTCACCCTGAGGGGAAAGTGGGAAAGAAAATGGAGAGGAAAAAGTGGTCAGTAGAAATTCAGGGAATGACATTCCCTACCATCCTAGCACTCCTGGCATCTGGTGACCCAGGGATTGGTCCTTGAACTCAGTCACTCTCAGTGGGACCCATAAAATATGAACCAAACTTTCCTGGAAACTTATTTCAAATTTTCCACTATTCTAAATATAGTCTAAACTCCATCAGACACAGTCTCCTCTGCCATTTAGCAAGAGATTTCTTTGTGAAATTTCTTGTGTCCCTTGCCCCTAAAAAACAAAAAAGGGGGGAGGAGTAAATTACATCTTGCTTGCCTACCTTCTTCTGTCCTGAAAGAGAGTCCTCTAAGGGTTTAGTGCGCTCCAGGGTTGGCCGCTGGCGGCTCTGAGACTCTGCTCGGGAGATATAGTCAGCCACAGTCACTGGGGAAGGCAGAGGACCAAGAGTTTCAGAAGGAACCCAGGTATCCAGCCCCTAGATACCCAATGAACCGCAATCCCTGGTTATCATAGGGGTAGGAGGCATCCCATTCTCTCAGCTCTAAGAAAAGATGCTGGTACCCAGTGTTAGCTGACCTGGTTGGCGGTCTCCACTGACAGAACCATCAGTACGGTTACCGCGGTTACGGCGGCGGCGGCTCCTATTTCGACGCTGAGGTCTGGACTCATCTTCTGTGGGGCAGGGGAATATTCAAATTATGCATCCAAACTCCCATCCCTCAGTTCTTGCCCAGCTCTAATTTTTAAACACCCCTTACCCAAGCCATTTTCTGTCGTGCTAAGCCCATCAGATTCCAGGCCTCCATCCATGATAGTCCTGTCTTCATCAGTGCGCCGGCGGCGGGAGCGGCGCCGCCTGGCACTTGCTGGGGGCGGTTCTCCAGGCTCTGAATCAATTGGAGGCTCTGGTTCAGATGTGTCCAGTAGGCTGTAGGGATTACTGTCTGGATCCTTCAGCACTGGTTAGAGAAGGAAGAATTGGGAGTCAGGTGCCCACCAACTTTCCCTTTGTCCTACATTCATGAACCCAGCTGTCTGGTACTAGTACCTGAGCTAATAGATGAAGAGTTGTATCTCGAAGTAGGCCGGGGAGCAGGTGGAGGTCCCCTACCCCGGCCCCCAATAGGCCGCCTCCGGCTTTCTTCCCCCCGGGTTGGGGGATCTCGATCTCCTGTCCCAGCTCGGATAGGCTCTTCCCTCTTCTCAGACTCGGT